CACCCCCAACAGAGCTCTCTGACCCATCGGTCACAGGATTCAAATCCAGCTTTTAAACCTTTTTTTAATTAAAGAAAAAACCTCTTTAAACTGGTTTGTTTCAAAATCACTGAACTGAAAACTTTGCTGCACTTTTCAAACGTCTGTAATGCAAAAGCCTCGGTTTCACTTTCATTTGTCAGAAGCCATATAAGTATTTGCACAATATAGCTCTGCATCGCCCCAAGTGTATTTAGCACAGTTTTTCCCAATTCGGTCCTTGGGGACCCACAGACAGTCCATGTTTTTGAGGGAGCAAAAATGTGTATTGTCTGGCAGGGAGCTGGGAGGGAGAAAAAACGGGGACCGTCTCTGGGTCCCTGAGAACCGGGCTGGGAAACATTGATTTAGCAGGTGTCTCTGTTGTAGTGCGTTTAGAAGCTTCTCCGTGACAGATCCTGCTATACTCTTCCCTCAGACTATACTTGGCTTTGCAGTTTTACCCAAATCTTCATATCCTTCCCCAGGGTGTGAGGCGTCCTTCCTGGAGAACCAAACTGGTCCAAACCGGGTCTCATTATAGCTCATTCTGTTTTCTCCGAGTTCTGGTTAATGTTATGTATTATTTATAGGTGAGTATTTTACCTGTAATTCTATGGTGAAATACGCTCCCGTTTCACAGATGTGTCATTGGGTGCCTGGTTCCCGTGTCAGCCAGGTGTTAATGTGATAAACTCTTCCGGTCCTCATGGTATTTATGCGGGAAGTGGTTTCTGGGGGTGCACTTGAAATGTAATATGATGGCCGTAAGCAAGCGAGAGCTTCCTGGAATTCCGATTTTGTGTAGGATAAGAAAAGAAAGCATGAGGCAGACAGACGAACACTTATGCTCCTTTTACTAGCCCCATAAAGAGCTCATGGAAGTGATGCTTATAGGCAGAATCTGTCTAAGTGGTGCGGATTAACTTGTCTAATTCCGTGCCCTGCCTGGAAGTCGCCCCATGCCCCCGGCGGGGCATCTCATGCTCTTCGCTCTCTGTCTCCCTCTAGCTGCCAGACAGGGCGAAGCAAACCTGAAGGAGATGGAGGAGGCCTTGGAGACCACGAGAGCAGAGATCGGGTGAGGGACCCCGAGGAGAGGTGTTTGGTGGTGAAGCTGCGTCGCTCAGCTTCGCCCTGCTTTTCGGATAGCCGCGCCTGCCCCCCCCCACACCTCTGGCAGGACCCGGAAGGGGCAGGAGCTGTGGAAAATGGCCGGCAGCAGGTTGGCTTCCTGTGGAAAGCCGGGTAACATCCTGCCTTGTCTTAGTCAGGGATGTGCTGGGGCATTCTGGTGAAATACTTCTCTAAAGTACTTTTCTATTTTGAAACGTGTCCCTCAGAATTGGTCCCGTCGCCGGGGGCTCGGTCCTGGTGTCCGCTCTGGACACGGGGCTGTAAACTGTTACGGTCCTGTTACTGTTTACGCAGAAAACAGCGTCCGATTTAGAAGTGTGGATATGGGCCAGTCGGGAGAGCGCACATGCCAGCCAGCCAGCTGGCTCAAACACCCACACACACACGGGGCCCCTGGCGGCCCCGAGCAGTGAGGGGGGGCCCATTCAGCCTCTACCACTCCTCCTACTCGACCACGGAAGCACCATCTATCTGCTTTTTCCTAATTTTCGTGTTTCCGTCTCGGCGCTTTGTGTTGGTGTTAGGGCAATGTTTCCCAATCCGGTCCTCAGGGATCCCAGCTTGAGCAAAAATGTGGACTGTCTGGCAGGGAGCTTGGAGGGAGGAAAAACATGGACTTGCTGTAGGTCTCCAAGGACCGGATTGGGAAACACTGTGTTAGAATGAAATACAAAAGTTGGTGCCTGACGTGCAGATTTTACAGGCCATATGGATGAATATTGTGGCACACTGTTGAACTCGTGTGACCTGAGAGTACAGCCCCTCCTTTAGGATGGGCTGCATGGCCTCAGGTCTCCAGCTCGCTCCTCTGCACCGGGGTCCCCTGGTAAGTGACTCCTGATTGGGCCAGAGGTCATGTCTGCTGGGTGACAGATGGCACGCAAGCCTCGGGTTTTGCTCTTGTGTGTGTGTGTGTTTCTCTGAACGATTAAAGCGGTCCCACATTCAGAGAACACCCACCCACACACTCCCGGACCCTGCAGAAGTTCCCAGGTGACAGCTAGCGATAGCTCCCGTCACGTGACCCCAAGGATGGAGTCACCCGGGCATGCCCCTCACGCCACCAGCCCCCCACCCCCCACGCTGGCGTCCCATTTAGCTCATTAGCAATTCTGCATCATAAATATGCAAATGGACCCTTCCGTAGCAGAGATGTATTTCTGCTCCCTCATTTCTGATTAGCGGGAGCGGCTCTCTGCCTGCCGCAGATAATTGGTGGCATCGCATAGCAATAAGACGTCGCCTTGCACCTCATTAAAGCCTTGGGAGGGGGTTACTTGGGTGGGGGCTGCTTTAGTTTCTTGCAAAAAAAAAAAAATTGCAGTTAAAATATTAAATATTAACTGACCCCATAATGTGGGTGATGAGTTACGAAAAGGCTGTAATTCTTTGAAGTATGAAACTAGGTAACTAGCACCTCATGCATAAAATAAAGGCAGAGATTGGGCTCCGTTCTGGCATTTTTTTAGCCACGAGAGGGCGGGGGCAGGGTTAAAGTATTTCTGATTTTCTCGCCCCCCCCAGGCCTCTGATGCTCTGCTGTATGCCTTTATCTTCCGGCAGTACTCTTCACTAGTTTCCACAAAATGGGTAGAAATAAATAGTCTTTCCCCTGTCTCTATTGTTTATACTGAGAGATTTTGGGTGGCATCCGCATGAAGCATCGAGCGAAGTTGGGAGTCCGGCCCTTTCCCGCAGGTTCTGGCCTGATCCAGCCTGACCCAGCCTGTTCCAGCCTGTTCTGGCAGGTTCCTAGGCTGTGTCTGATTGCTTCACCTTCGCTGCTTCAGTAGGCGGTTTACTTTCCCGTGTTTGGTTCCTGTGTCATTCTGCCTACAGAGAAGACATGCTAATTTTGTTCCTTAAACAACCCACTATGGCTGAGGACAAAGGAGGAGGCACCTTTGTCCTTTGGTTTATTCGTTTTATTTTGATGTGTCTACTGTTAAATATCTAGATGACCACAGAGTAAGCGATGAAGTGATGAATAAACGAGACGGAGCAAAACAAACAGTCAGGACAAGTTCATGTCGAGCGATTCTCTCGCTTGTCAGATTCGGTCGTCTGTAAAATTGTAAAAATCTGACGTAATGTAGCCTTACACCAATTTCCAGGCAGATTTTTCTGCAGAGGATAAACAAGGCCCTACACTTCAAAGGCGCACAGAAAAATAACGTCATAAAACATTTCTGTGAAGGACAAAAGAACCAATCTCTTGTTAAGGCATCAAGCCATTCTAGGTTGTTCGAAGATGAAGGTTAACCGTACTGTGCTTCTGCCGGCCTTTGAGTGCCTGGCTTGTCACCTGACTGCTGTGTCCTCCTGCGTTTCAGGAACCTGGAGAAGGTGCTCTCCACAGACTATGGCTCCAGCAGAGAGTTCCTCTATCTGCAGGGACAGTGTTTCCAGCTGGTGGTCTACGAGTGAGTCTGTTTTCCTTCCTCCTCGTCCTCCTCCTCCTCTTGCCAATGAAAAGTTGTAACAGGCTTGCCATAAGCTCCATCAGCCAGCCTAGACCGGAGCCCACTGTTCCAGAACTTGGGTGACCCGTCCAGTTAATAGCACTCAGTCGTAAGTGGAGCGCTGGTCGTATGAAAACATTTTCATGGTCTCCCCATTTTTTTTTTTTTCTTTTGTGGTTTAAATCACGGAGAAGCGGGCTCCCGTAATTTTCCGCGGCCCGTCCTGACTTATTCTTTTTCGCGCGAGCGCTCTTCCCGACGCGCGCCCGTAAACGCCGTTAAAGTTCGAACTCCGCTGTTAAGTCGCGGGAAATTCACACGTAACGGCGGGATGTGAAATCCTCCTAATGAATGCTCCTCCGGTGTCCTTGGTAGTCCGACTGAGCAGCGAACGTAAGGTGCAAATGATATTTTCACGAGCTTGCATCATTGTTCAAAGACATTTCCAGCCAGAACACTGGGCCAAGGCACTGGAGATATTGTCATTTTGCGGGGGGGGGGGTGGGGGGGGGTGTTCTTTCTGTTCATTTTCCGCTTGTGTGAGGGCTGTGGCACCATCGGCGCCCCCTGTGTTTGCTTTTCTTTTTAGATTAGGCTGCCGTGCCTTCGTGCGGGGCGGTCAGGGTGGGAGGGGGGAACACCCACCGGGCCGGGGGAGGGCAGGCGCCCGGATACTTCTCAAAGGCGTTCCCAGCCCCCTCCCCCGGGCCGAGCGCCGAGGAGCCCGGGAGCCCAGAAGCATGAAGGTTACACTGGCGTCACGGGTCACCGGCTCTGACGTCACGGACCCCGGGGGGGCGGTTGTCGGACTGGGCTGATACGTCTGCATGGCAAGGGGGGGGGGGGGGAGGCTCATGGGGTGGGGCAGTCATGGAGGCCGGGCCAACATGGGAGTAGGGCCGCCTCAGTCTGATCAGGTGTGCTACCATAGCGGGTCGTGGCCCCACCTCAGGAACATTCTGGGTGGTAGCTGACCGACCCCCAGGATTCGTACCCCTTTCCTGGAAAGGATGGTCTTGCCCTCCGTATCTCAGTTAGTGCGGGCGTGTCTGTCCTGGGGGTGCCCAGTGCGAGCGTGCCGTCTGCCTGCTTGCCCCCCCCCCCCCCCCGTGCAGTCACTGTCACCCCGCGCCGGACTCTTTCTTCTCCAGAAGGACTCTGAGCAGATGCTGAGATGCAGGGAGCATGATGGGGGAGTGAGAACGGCCATCATAGATCTTGCCGAGAGACTCCCCGCCTGCCACGTCCTCCACTGTCTTCCCCGCCATCGCCCCCCTCCCTGGGCCCCAGCCCACGAGGCTGCGTCCTTTGTTTTCCTCTTACTTCCTCTCAGCCTTCTCCTCCCTCCTCTTCTCTGCCCCCCCCTGCCAAGACCCCCCCCCCCCCCCCCCCCCCTCCCTCTCTGCCACGTTCTTGATCCGGCCATCAGACCACCCCCCCTCCCCCCATCGCATTTGCGGCCGCTATTTATAACCTGACGTGCCACGGCACCTGAGAGCAGACAGCCGCATTCGAATGTGGCGCCACCCAGAGGCGCTTTGTGGTTAGTGCTCCCTGGGACGCCGCACACACGAACTCCGGTTTGAGTGCCTGCTGCCTGTTTAATATGCGCCCAGAGCGATCTGTTGTACCTTTGTTTTTGTATTGTTTAAGTGACCTCTGATATCGCCCAGTGATATCATAATTACTTTAATCTGAGAATTAGTCTTTTCATTTCATTAGTCATATTCTTTATTATTTATCTTTCATCCAATTAATGTTTATATTTGTCACCTTCATAACTCCCATATATCCTACACACAATTATATGGTAATTTAAAAGCTTTTATTAAAAAAAAAAAATCAAACAATTTACTATATTATAATTAGATGCTAAGTAAGTATAATCAAAATAGCGTATGGGATTAATTCCAGGTTTCTTTGATGTTGTTTGCTTGTAACCCGATTGTCCTGATTGTTTGTTTTCATATGAGGTTAGCTGGAAATGCTGTCACAGTTTGGGAAGTGTGAACTGGGGGGGGGGGGTGGCTTTTTAATTTTAATATATATTCTGACTGTATTCACCAAGAGCAGGACTGTCCCTGGAGCTGTTGTTTGAGAAAACGTTAAGATTAGGATGTGAGAACGTAGAGCAGGGGAGCTGTCTTCTATGACACCCTGTCAGCGGATTATACTAATGAAGAAATAAAGTAATTAGTGATGTAAACGATTGGCCTGGATGAAGATGAAAGGTAGCGATCATCTCTGGACGAGTCTAGACTCCCTCACAAGGTGCTGCCTCTAAAATTGAAGCAGTTCTTCTGCCAGAAGTGAATTAGAGTGTCATTAATATTGCTAATGTGGATCTGTGGTCTTCTATCGATTTCCAGAAGGGTTCTGCTGTAGCCCCGGTGTGCTGTTGAGCTTCCTCCTGATGTATGTGTTTTGTCACAGACAGCCATGCCGGCGGAATATTTATGACATCCATTACGGTCTCCATGTGGGCATCCATGCGGTGACGGCAACAGCACGGTGCCCGTTCGGCTAACTCTGCCGGGTAAACTCTGCCCGCTTCAGCGGCTCGCTCGGACCGAAGCCAGCTGAGAGGGGCATGCGGTAAGGGCACCAGAGGAGCGGCACGCGGCCGCATCCCTGGGGGAGTTATCAGAACCCGAGTTACATCAGGAAGCCACCGCTGTCTCCAACAGGCCAGTCAGAGCCAATTTGTGCAAGGCCTGTGTCAGCATAGACGCGTCGGCCCTGACGATCGGAGCGGGGGGCCGGGGGGGGGGAGGCGGGTGACTCACCAGTTATTAAAGGAGCGTCGCATCCGAAGGACTGCGCTTACGAAGCCCGTTTGGAGGGGGGCAGACGCGTGTGTCGTCTCACCGGCCGAGCGTTTTACCAAAAAATGATGGCTGCAGGGCATTGCATCACAGTCGCTCAAAGGAAAAGGCCTGAGGTTTGGTGTTCACCTTTATCAGCTTGTAATTACACCCCCTGGTTCCCGGCTACTTACCAAGCTGCCCGGGACAGGCAAATACGGGCCTGTGTCTCTTAGCAGCCATGGTGCGTGGCTCTCTGAGCTGCGATGGTTCTTCCCAGGGTGTCATGCGTGAACGAGGACTTGGGGTCCAGCAACAGCTTGAGCGATTTCCCCCGTGTTGTCTGGTCTGCACGCAGATTCGCTGTAATTTCAGCCGGTTGAGTCACCCTGCCGCTACTCCCCTCCCCTGGCCTCAGCACTACGACGCGCTTCATTTCTGCATCCGCTCGCGGACTTGGCCGCCCGCCGTAAGCCGCCCGCCGTAAGCCGCCCGCCACAGTGCCCGTGCATGGGCTCCGGTCCTCGCTGCCGTCTGGATGACAGCCAACCCCACGGCCTCCACACTTGACCTTTGACCTTCTCTCCCATCGTACTTCTTGTTAGCGCTTTTTCTTCGTCTCCTCTCTCATCACAGGAACGGCCTGCTTTGCCCGAAACAGGCTCCCTCCATGTCAAGAGACACGTTAATCCCCCGCTCTCCAACAGCCGCCGCCACCCGCTGATTGACGCCGTTTAAATAAAGCGTGGTTGATGCAGCCCGATTATACTACTGATTTCCAATAAGCGGCTCTCACTTTAGCTCTGGTTAACGGCCCTGTTTCATCAGTCGTGAGATCTCAGACCCCTGCTGTAGGCAGTGTACCTGAGACTGAACTTTACCCAAAGCTCCCTAATCACAGGTCACAGGAGAAAATAAGGGTGCAGTTGATGAAAAGTAGGAAGTGTTTGACTTCTGACAACCACTATTTCTGCTTTTTTTTTGGTTTAGCTAAAGTATTTCACATTATTAGATTGCTTGACAAATTATGGGGGAGAGTAAGCTTAGCCGTTCGTGTGCTTGAGATTCCGCCAACATGTTATTCTGAAATCCCCCCCCCAAATGGGGAGGAAAAGTAATAGAAAGCTACATTTTACAGTACACATGCAGTTGATTTTTGGCATAGATCCTTGGAGATAAGCCTCATGTCTATTCTTCGTAATTTACAGTGACGTTGGCACATTTGAATAATGCGCGGAACCTAATTATCGCCTAAGTTTTTACAGGGAGCTTCCGCTGTTAGGCAGTCAGAAAGTGCATACATGTCAGTGCCCAGAGTCATTTTTAGATCGCTGAAGAAAATGGTGTAAAGCATGCTCATTAGCTCCTCCACACCTAATTTGGTTCGGCTTCTTTTTCCAAGTTTGGGAGCAGATGTGTCTGTGTTAAGTCTCACCTAGGTGGACACTCTACTTGTGGGCATCTGTCGATGTCTGATCTCACCGTTTTTGTTAACAAAATTTCCCTGTATTACTCGCAAGATGGTAGCATATTTCGAAAACTGTCTCCCTTGTAATGTTGCCACCGTTGTCACCGGTAGGAGCGTAAACTGACATTCTCTGTAGGAAAGGCCTGACTTTGAGTCTGTGTCAAGTTGTTTGTTTGTCTGCATTGTGTGATTGTTTTTGTGTTGTTTTTTTTCTTCATATGTGAAGCTCTCTGTATGGAATGTGGTCTCCGCAGATGCAGGAGGAATCTGTCTGTTTCCCTAGCTGTGTATCTCCCTGGTTTTGTGATGGAGCTGTACGTTGAGAACCCGTGGGAGGTGGCCGAGCTCTGCTCTGTTAGTCAATTCTTATCCTCCTTAAAACAAACGGGCAGTCAAAATTCACCCCTAAACCATGGTGAAGAACTCAAAGCAAAAATACAATCGGCTATAAATGAGTCGTATACGGAGCCATTAGACGGGAATTAAAATGCCGTTTTAGCAAATAGTGTATCATTCGGGAAATTGATGTAAACTTGAAGTTGGCTGGATTGACCTACGCTGAGTGCTGCTCAGGTCTGAACTCATAAATGGCGATTACCTCCTATGGAATGAAAATTCTGGAGAGGATGTTTGTCTTCAGTAGAGCAGTGAGGGTGCTTCATTCAGAAGGGGGGATCCTTATCAGATTCAGGTGTCATTCAGATATGTAAACCTAAGTATATGAGCTACCAGAAGGATTGTCTCCCAGTCTGTCATCAATTGTCAATCATCTATGTGCAGATATGTTACTGGATGATGAGTGACTGGACACACACATTCATCCATGATTGACCAATTAAATGAGCACATAATAAAGACAGCAGTGTGGTGCACAACCTTCACTTGAGGTGATAATTCTACAGTTATTACGGTAAGATGAGCAGCTGCTAGCTATGAGAGCTCTCTGAACATTTTCTCATGGCCCTGTTGTCCTTCATGTGGAAATATTATCCTCTAATCCTGCTTGAGATTTTAGATTGACTATTTAATTAGAATAGTTAATGGAGGGGTTGGGATAAATAAATAAGAATTAGCCTTTAAAATGTGCATCTCCGTATTAAAGCAGTCGTGGGAGGTTAGCGTTATGCTAATAAGACTTGCTAAAATGCCACAAAGCAAAAACACATTCAGTTAAGTAATGAAAACACTGGGCTGATGGGCATTTCACCTCATTATATTAATGTACAACTTTATGCGCTTAATAAGTCATGAAGCTATTTTTTTCATTAATTTCTGCTCTGACACAGCCATTTAATTCACAGTGATAGATATTAAGTTATCGTGGGTGATGTAATGCGAGCGGAGAGTACGGTGTTTCTGGCGATCCACTGAAATTCATGGTCCATTATTTATATTTCGTTTTGGATAACCGTAGATCACACCACTGTAGATCAAAGCTTATCCAGTGTCCCAACCCCTGTGTCCATTAGATAGATCATTAGACATTAGTCAGCCTGGCTGTCTTTATCATGTAGAAAGAGTAGATCTTCAGAAAATTGGGCCTGGTGCTAAATCATTTGCACTATGGATCTACTGAGTTAGTGTATCACATTAATTATGCATTGAGATTTATTTGAGTGCTAATTTGGTATTTCCATTCTGTCCATCTACTGTGCGCATGGTAAAATAGCATTTTTGAGATTATAATGGATTTTGTTCCCGCACCCAAACCTCGAAGTTAAATGATTAACTGGAGAGGTGTTGCAGTATTTTACAAGGGATGCTGTCACCTCTGACACGCCTCACAGTTAAGGCAGATGTGGGGAGTTGCCCGTAAGCCAATTAGCCCATGTTGAGGTTGGCGCCAAGCTTCCGGCGTCACCTCTGTGAACTCGGCTCACGCTGTCGCACAACATGCCAGAGAGGAGCAGTAATTGCCCCCTGTCCTCCCCACTCCCGGCCTGGGATCGCGCGAATAAAACTTAATCAAGTCGCCGTGAGCCCTTATTGTGTCTGACCGACACCAACGGTGGCCAGATCCATCGCCTTTAATTAGTCGTTAATGCAGATATGGTGGAAGCGGCTTCGGCTTAAGCTGAGGCTCGCTGACCATCTCTCCTCGTTTCTTCTCATCCTCGACGTAGCTCTGTTGACGTCTGCCACTTGTCGAAGAAGGCCGAAGCCGTCATAACACCAAGCCGAAAATGGAAAAGCGTAGCGCATTTTAATGCAAATCTTCATTTTCATTCGTATTTCTGTCTCTTTTATTTATTTTTTGGAGCTTTTTAATTCTATAGTATTATGTAATATCCGTCATTGTCCTATGGTGTCAACCAAAATGTCAAGCGCGTCAAACTGATTATCCCCACGGAGACGCATTATTCCCACCCAGTTAACGTTATTTTCCGTCCCGACAGGCAGGAGTGGGTGTTTTGGCCTGAAAATTACATCATAACGCTTTCAGATATTTAGAAAATTCTTTCCTACAAGATTTCGCTGCATTGTTTCATGCTGCGGTTTAAGAACCAGTATTGACTCTGCGCTGTATATTAAAAACAGTACACGGATTTAATTTTCCGTGAAACTACGCAGTTCTCATTTCCAGTCAATATCTCAATATTCTCCATACTCCTTAAATTCTCCCAGGCCATATGCACACCTCTTTAGCCTTTGTCATGGTTGGTCCCCCTACTGGTGGGAAGGCCTTATGTGAGGCTCTCTTGCAGGCCTGTTCAACGGGGTGCAAAATAAACGTCCATCTGCTGCAGACTGAGGTATAGAAGGAGAAGTCGGTCAGCAGGCAGTCTCAGCGGCACGAGACGTGCGGTGCCTGCGCCTTCATCTGCTTCTCGCTCCGATACCTTTTTGCATATTATTATTTAGTTTAACCGGAGCTCCAGAGAATGATTTCTTATCTGATGTGAATTTAGATTCCCCTCCCTCCTTCTCTGAGATCTTGCCTTATCTGCTTAGACACCAGCTCCCTGAGCATTTCCGCAAGGGTGGGGGGCGGTGGAGTTTATTTCCCGACACGCTGGGCCGACCCACGTTTTCCGCGGACTGAGCCGAGTAGCTGCAGGACGTCGTTGGTACCGTGGTGCTGGCTGTGTTCATCCGGGCAGATCCATAAGAACGACCCCCCTGGGCGTTACTACCTGTAAGCAGACTGCTGTTTCAGTATTTGGGGACCAGAGTCACGGCAGAGTGGCGGTGTGCTGTGAATAACTGGTTTATAGCAACATCTGAGATGCCTGTATAAGAATGTGTGTGTGTGAGAGAGGTTCCTCCAGGGGCCTGTTTATTGACACAGTGATGTGGTGACATCACATCATCAGACGCCAGATATGTGGCCAACATTAAAGGATAAACGCCCGAAACAGTGCTTAATGCAGTGCGCAAACAGGCCGCCGTTCGCGGGAGCGGCAGCCAATCACTGACCTCGCTCTCCTTTCATCTCGCTTTGCTCTCCCGCCGCTTTTGATGTCCGGTGCATGTGCTACTTTCTGCTCTCCTCTCTTAGCCACTCACTTTGTACTGTTCTAATCAATGCTTTGGTTCAACTGTTAAAGTGCCGCTGCTCCTCTGTCGCACTGCAGCCATCTCCTGTGTCTTCTTTGATATTTTTTTTTGCTGACTTGCCCCCCCCCCCGCCAGTGACAGGCTCCTCACTGGCCTTCCTGAGCGGTGGGTGGCTCCGCCTTCCTCGTGAAGGGCAGTTGGTCATGGCATGATGGAGGCTATGTAGGGCCTCCATGGTGGGGGGTATTAGAGGGGTAATAATTCATACAAAGAGGCCAACCTCATCATTAGCCAATGGTATGTTTTGAATTGATGAGCGACAGGGGAGGTGGCGCTGTGAGGGCCAATCAGCGTTCAGCTGAGGCCAGTGCCCCTATGGCCCTGCCCTTGTAGGCGGCCCTTAGATCCTCATAACGTTCAGTAATTCAGCCTGTGTAATGGCTTCTTGTCATTCCCGGCTCTCTGCCGGCTACATGTTTGTTTTGGAAAGAATCTCTCAGTGCACCGTGCTACATCTATGGAAAAAAAAATTGGCCCACTTTTTGGTTTTTTTTCAAGCAGGAAAAATGGGCAAGTGTAAGGATCTGAGTGACTTTGACTAAGGGCCAAATTGTGGCTAGACAGCTAGAACAGAGCATCTTCAACAGGGCAGGTCTTGTGGGGTGTTCCCAGTTTGCAATGGTCATTACCTACCAAAAATGGTCCAAGGAAGGCAAACTGATGAACCAGCGATGGGGTCATGATTCAGGAATTGTTCGGGAATGGTTTAAGGAACATGGAAAAGAGTTCAAAGTGTTGACTTGGCCTCCAAATTCCCCAGATCCCGATCGAGCAGATGTGACATGTGATGGACAAACAAGTCCGATCCATGAAGGCCCCACCTCGCAAGTTACATGACTTAAGGGACCTGCTGCTAATGTCTTGGTGCCAGATACCACAGGACACCTTCAGAGGTCTTGTGGAGTCCATGTCTCGACGGGTCAGAGCTGTTTTGGTGGCTTGAGGGGGACATACTCAATATTAGGTAGTGTTGTAGTCAAGACCGCCTAAACCGAGACCAAGACATTGCCGAGACCGGAGGGTATCAAGACCAAGACACTGCCGAGACTTGAGGGTACCAAGACCAAGACCAAGTCCAAGACCAAGACCAAGACACACTAAGGCGAGACTAAGACCAAGTAACGTTTTTGAAATGGATGCATCTGACTGGTTGCATTTGAATTGAGGCGCGTAATAAATAATGATACTGTTCTGTGAGGATGTGCAGTTTTCTCTTTTTTTCCCCATCCCATCGAGACCGCTATGTCCGAGACCAAGACAAGACCGAGACCAAATAGAGTCGAGACCAAGACAAGACCGAGACCAAATAGAGTCGAGACCAAGACAAGACCGAGACCAAATAGAGTCGAGACCAAGACAAGACCGAGACCACAAAAAATTGGTCTCGAGACCGGTCTCGAGAACTACAACACTAATATTAGGCAGGTGGTTTTAATGTTATGGCTGATCAGTGTATATTGTGAAAGGAAGTCTGGGAGTTAGCTTCCAATTTCCCTCCTTGGAATCAGACGCAGCTACACCTTGCCGTAGCGTGGTGGTTATAACGTTCGCCTAACACGTGTGCAGTCGGGGGTTCGAAACCAGTCTGAAACATGTTATGTGAATTTTCCCCCTGGGATCAATATAGATTAACTAATGTAAAGTCTCTCTCCGTGTCGCTCCTGCACTGCAGATGGTTAAGGTTAATCCCCAATGGCGCTCAAAGGAACGTGCTGGTTTCAGCTCCCAGAATATCCGTCACAGGAGGAGGATGATGATTTACGATGTATATTTCTGTATGCTTATTAACGTCCATCGTGTTGAGACGACAGTAACACATCCACCCCTGATCCTTCTTACAGGTACACCTACTCGCTGTGTCCATTCAGTCACGTGACCCAGAAGAGCTCCACAGGGGCTGAGGTTTCATTAGGGTAAGTCTGGTTTCACTTTTAAAAAAAATATTCGCTTAAATCCATCATTTGTTAAATAAACGAGCATTGTGCAGAACACGAGTGTTCTCGTGAGATATTACATTATACTGTATGCTGTGACTTAAATTGTCTCCAAAATAAGGTTTCTCTGGCAGCTCGGAAAGACAGGCAACCTGATTTGTATCCTTGTGATGTACAACCAGGTGTGATTGTAAGATTTTTTTTTTAAGGTAGGGGGTATAAGAGGGGCCATATTTCATATAGAGGGGCCAACCTTATCCTTAGCCAATGATATGTTTTGAATCGGGATGGAGAGCTCTAGGTGCCAATCAGATTTCCGCTGGGGGGCGGTGCCTCAGTGGCCCCGCCCCTGAATTATGTGGCTTTAATGGGAAAAGGGATGAGAGGAGCAGCCATACTTCTCAGTTAGCATGGAAGTGAGAAAAGCCCGGCTCTGCGCTTCCCTGCACTGCCAATGCCGCGATGCTGCTCTTGGTGCCGTACAGCTGTTCAGAGGTCTCTGGTTACATCTCTCATTGTTGATCTTCCCTTTGATACCACTCTATACACTCAGTCTCTCTGCTCTCCCTTCAGGGAGTCTCACGTAGGTGCAGTGTTTCCCAGTTTTCAACCGAACATTTACCAGAAATGTTTCTTTTCGGGATCTTGTTTTTTCATCGCCACCGTAAATAAGTCATGGGTGTCTGCTGGCTGGGGTGTAAGGTGAATTATAAATGGTATATAATGGATAATGACACTGAATTGGTGATATGAAACTTGATTCCCTGTGGAAGTTTATTTGTACAGTAGCACAGAAAGAAATGCAACAAAACGCAAAGTAGAGATAAATACAGAAAAAATAACCCAACTTGTACCCTTTTTATGTGCCTCAAGCGCGTGACGTCTTAATTATGGCATTTGCCATTTTGCCGTCATCTCGCCCCATCCAGTCCCCCTCTGCCATCTGCCATGCCTGGCTTTATAATGTGTAATTACATGAAGGCTATTTTGTTGACATTTAGTAATCTTTTAATGCTTAATGTTGCTGGAATTGCCTCTCCGTTATATGTTGTGCCGAAGCTGGAACGTGAAAAGCTGAAATAAAAAAAATAAAAAAACAATGAAATGCTGAGGTTGTACTCATGCTGTTTTATGTTCACCGGGGTTAGTGCTGTTTCCGTTTGACAGGTAGTCTACCATGCGCTCCACGGCTGGGGCTCTCACGGGGAAAACTGTTGCTTTGTCGGTCGGAAAAGACAGACACAAACACAGAAACACAGAACGACACACACAGACGCACATATATAAAATGTTTAAGGTTCCCTCCGGAGCCCATGGTGGAAAGCTCAGGTACCCCCATCCTTTAAGAGGTGCATCTGGCCAGGTCCGGCGACACGCCGATGGTCAGAAGTATTGTGTGCCTCTCACTGGACCACATGGGAAGCCCATTGTCCTGCCACCTGATTGGACAGTGCTGGAACACATGACTGCTCAACTCTGGAGCGCCACCATCTGGCCACATGGAGAGTAGGCTGCAGAGTGCCAGCATGACCCTTAGAGGACACCCCCTCCCCCTTAAAGGGAACGGTGGCTGGGGTGAGCGCGTGTACTCAAGCTGGACTCGACCCGGACTCCCCGGAAAGCCAAACACATCTAAGAGGTTATTTAATATTTAATCTGCTTCAGGCTGGCTAATGGAAACTAAATGACTGCTTTGGATGCTATGGACCATAACTCACACGCAGTAATATCGTTTGCAGCAGGGGGATTGTGGCTTTGGTGGGGGTGGGGTGGGGGGGGGCAGAGCCCACACATTTTCCTGAGTGCACAGGAGAAGCATGAATCATAGCCCAGTGCTGGGAATAAGTCATTTTTTATCCAGACAGGCTATCGTTCACTCAGAGCACAGCCCCTTACAGAATATCGGTGTGTTCTGATATTAATCTGCATGCGATGTGCTGCTCTCCCCATCGTGGGAGGGACCGGTGCGGGGCTCTGATTTAAACGCTACCATTTATCACGCAGCTTTGTGCGTCACATAGCGAAAAATAAAGGTTGTTAATATTACAAAAAAAAAACAAGTATTAGTTGGCTGAAAGTTTTTATTTAAAAACATAGAAAATCAGTTGATTTGTTTATGGAATCAGGCTGAGTCATTAATGCAAGAGTTGGGGTGTAGTTAATGTGAGAGTGACTCTGTATTGTTATCGGTTAAAAAAAATGCGCGATATTCGTGTTGGGAAGAATCGGCACGTCATTAAGGGACTGATTATGGGAGGCGTGCTTTTAAAAACCCGCCGTGATGCTTGGGCACGTCCAGGGCGCGGCTTTCTGTAAACAGATGGTTTTGGGCAGGCGAGTGTTGATGTATCCCGATTGGTTCATTCCTATTCCGGCTTACGACGGCCACTCGGCAAGCAGCGAGCGCGGCGTAATGGGATCAGCGGCGTAATGGGATCAGCGGCAGCGACGTAAACCAGCGTAATGATAACAAAGCATGTGCGGCGACAGCTTTGCCTGTTTGTGACGGAATGGTCCATCATAATAATCCAGGGGGGGGTCGCCGGGGGTGTCTGCGGCGGTCTTAAAGTAAATGGCCGTTGTTTAAAAATGAAATGGAGAAATGAAGGCTGGGGAAGGGGAAAAAATATCACCCCTCTCACAATTTCTTTCTGAGTCTGTGGGTGATCTTGTGGGGGAAAAACGTGACCCAGGCAGTCATGAAAACAATCTGTCAATCTGATCCACCCCCCTCACGCAGTAGTGAGCTGGCCCTTTAAGATCAGGTTGATGAGGTTAAATGACGGCCTTCGCCGGCTGTGCCCCGAGGCTGCCGTCCCGCCCCCCCCCCATCCCTCTGGGCGCTATGGTTGTGGGGCCGCTCCGGCGGTCCTGAGAGCTCTCCTCTGTTGTCCGAGCCCCGGTAAGTGCCAGTGAGTAATTAACGAGTCTTGTATCCTCCGTCCCCAGAGCGTGTAACAATAGCAGAGCTGAACAGCGCCTTTTTGCAGCGAAAGGCGTTCTTTGCTAGCTACCTCTCACCCCATCACTCTCCAATTTAAATATTAATACAGTATGTGTCATGGTAGGCCCCGCTTCTGCACAGTCTGCACGCTTACAGCCCTCTCCTGTCTCTGCCGCAATTTGTTGTTTTACCTCTTTCACCCTCTCTCTGTCGGCACTCTCGTATTTACATGCATAAGCTTAGCATGCTGGAAAATTTTTGGCTCTGCCCCCTCCCTCATCTGTGGGGGGGAGGGTTCACGTTGAGCACCTACTCCCCATCCCCCCCCCCCATTCCAGGCACACAAAAACAAGTGCTGCTGTCACGACGCAGGCGTGTCGGTCAAACGGAACCCAGTGGGAGAGGCTCACCGACGGTGACCTTGAGGGACCCGCACCTGCTCGCAGAGGGACACCCCCCACGGTGTAAAAATAAACAGGTGGGGGGGGGGGACTCGTGTGGAAAGCGGGGCCTTTGGCGTAAAACTACTCCGTGTTCCTTCCCCCCGTGTGTACCTGAATGGGGTGCGGTGTTCAGGGCATGCAGCTTAGCCAAGTTCAGGGCTGTTCTGTCCTTATTATTAACTGTTTGCAGAATGGCGAAGAAGCATAAAGAGCGTTAGGGGTCAGGGAGAGAGGGCCGGGGGGTGTGATTCTTATGAATGAATATATTGTTGGTAGTATCTGGAGACCAGGCAGGGCCCCAGATCTGTAATCACAAAAGTAAGAAGCCCGAACATGACAGGCATCTTTGACATCGAGCGCATCAAAGGTCACGTGCCTCTAATGTGCTACTTGCGGTTGGTGTGGGTGTTTTTTCTGCAAATCTGTATCGTGCATAAGTGCCCCCTATTTCCAGCAACGGCTTTTGAGTCAGTTAAAAGAAAATCTATACTGCTCTGGTGAAAAGAGATATGTACTCTGTGAATGTGCCATCTATTCTTAAAGGAAGAAAACAGGTTCTCCTTATCACGCCCGCTTTTTATTTTGCCTGGCGAGTTCCCTATCGCTTAGTATTCAAAGCCGCATGTCTCTCTTGAACCGCTTCATTGAATAATATATTTGGAAATGGTAAAGCAACGTAGCCTAGCAACATTACTGACCTGCAGTTGCTCAGTGGAGGATATGCAGTGGATCCCCCACTTCACTGGGGCCCTGTGTCAGGCACTGGGGTACTTTGAGGTATAGGGGGTGAAGGTGTTTAGGGAGCGTTTTGAGTTGGAGTACCGAAGCAGAATTTCCACAGTCGTCTCACAATATTGTCCATCTGTCTGGCATTTTTTATTTTCACAATCCAGTTGAGGCTACACACTTCACACTGGGAACTGGAACACAAAAGAGCCCAATTTTGCTGCAATAATCAGTGATTCCTCCTGCAATATGATGCATATAAATGAGCAGTTTAAGGGTCGGAAGTTTTACACGCCGGTGCCGTGTGATTAAATAGTCTTGATGAAAAATACTAGAATAAATAAGCGGCATGTTGGCGCGAGTGGCAGGTTTGTCGGTCCCCGCAGGGCCACCTGTGTGAGGGATTAACTTCCTGAAACTGGCACTGGGCCGCGGGAGTCTTGCTTTTGCAGAGAGACGCATGGAAATTGGTCTGGAAAACCTTGCTGCTACTTTAGTGCTATGAAAATGTGTTTCTGTGATCAATAATTGTTCATTCCAGTGGGATGTAAGACAATGCCCCAGTGCCTTATTAAATATTAATAAGGGAAAAGTTCTGACAGTAACAATTTTCCTTTCCTTTAAGATTAATTACTGTTAATTAGCATAGTGTTGTTCTGCTTCAGCTGTGCATTTATAAACCGAGAGATTAGTTAGAGTTGACTCTGTGTTAACTGTCAGTGCCTTCCTGAAATGTGAACAGAAACAGCTCAGTAGATAATAAGAGAAAAAGAATCGTGAAATGCGCCAGCAGGACGGATTGTCACCAGCTGACCAGCTCAAAATAATCACCTCCAGCCAACCCCCCCCCCCCCATTCGTCCATCA